ACAGTAATAATTTCAGTTTCATTTCATTTTTTAGCTAAGAATCATACTTAAAAATATTACATTTTTATTAATCTAATCCTCATTATTTATTGCTATAAATTATAACTTTTATAATTAATTAGCAAACTTTTTTTTTAAAAATTATACTTTTCATTCACATTTTCTCTTTTCGTACAATATTATTCAAATTATTCATTTTCTTTTTTCCTCTCATTTTATCCCATTCTTTTATTTAGTAAGCCCAATTTTTAGCCGAAAAAATTGTTTATTTTGAAATTCTCTTAAGTGTCATCCTTTCAAATTGTTATAAAAAGATATGAAGTGTCCAATTTTCAAAGTTAAATTTCAATCTTGACTTATTTTGAGATGTAAATAAGATGAACAAATAAACCTTGCTAACAAAAATCCAGCTTCGATATTATAAAATTTGGGAATATAACTTGAAATGATTAATTGCAAATGTAATAGGAAATGAATAATTGCAAATGTAATAAGTATTGTTCCAACAAATATTACTATATTCTTTTGTTCATTTTTTTTTCAATATCGACTTTATGATTTATTAGATATCCCGTAAGTAAGATAATTTCGATTTTAATTTGATTACTGAAATTTTAATCACCAAGCGACTCATTTCTAATTCTAATCTTTAAAATTTGAATTTTAGCTAGTTTGTTTTATATATCAATTTCAGACATTTATTTGTAATGAACACCAGTAGTGTGATTAATCCAGTTAAAGAAATTATTAATGAAAATGAATCAAACATTTTCTTAATTAGCAAATGATCATATTCAAAATGATATATGATTTACTGTAATTATCAAGGAATGGAATGGAATGAAGCAGTACTGAATTAAATTAAAAAATTTAAAGATTATAGTTGAGAGGAATATTTAAAATTGATAAAAATTATTAATTTATTTGTTGTAAAATTACCCAAATAAATGCTCATTAAATTTTTATTTCTAATTTTCAGTAAATATTGAATAATTAATTCTTTATCAGGTAATACGATGTGTATAAAGTGAATATTTTTATTTCATCATTTCAGATTTTTTAATTCATTTCTTTCATTCCGTAATCAGATGTTTAATTTAATAAATAATAAGATAAACACACACACACACACACACACACACACATATTTATTTTCCGTACTTATGGATGACAACCGTTTTACCTCCCACATGTATTATCCGTACTTATGGATGACTAATCGTTTTACCTTCCACACTTATTATCCGTATTTCTGGATGACAACCGTTTTACCTCCCACATTTATTATCCGTATTTCTGGATGACAACCGTTTTACCTTCATCCTTTTTCCATTTTCCTTTCATTATTTCGTTTGATTTGTCCGATCGTTATTTATGCCATTGATTTGTTGAATTATTCATTTAAGATGAAAGAGACGAGCATAAGTTAAAATAAAATTTAAGAAAAAGAAATGAAGCATAAAGGAGAATGGCATTGAAAAAAGTTTGGATTATTCCACTGCTTACATCTATCTTTAGCCTTTCTGCTTTTATCGTATCGTAAGTTACTATCTGTCATTTACTTTTTATTTTTTGTTTTTTTTTTTTTTAATGAAATTTACAAATTAATAATTTCCAATTTTTATGTTTCAAAAAACTTTCATTCAACATTATTTAAGTTTTGGAAATGAATTTAAAGCAATTAAAATGGTTTAATAACGAATACGAAATATTTTATATTACTTGCAATATTACTAATGCATATCTCATAAACATTAATTATGCTTAATATGACTATTTGGTGACAATTCTTTCCAGTTTCAAATGACATTGATAATGATTATTCATAATGAAGACATCATGTGATAAAGATGGATGAATTGGCGAACAATGAGGCTTGAAATTAAAAATGCTTCAAATGATATCCGATAGATAATGATAAATTATATTTGTATTCATTATATGTTAATCAATACTGATTTATCATTTCTTGTAGATATTGTATAGCCGTATCACAAGAGCATATTACACCATTTTGGCCATACATCAGGTAAAATCATTGTTTGCAAATTATTCGATACTAATATATTTGTTTGCAAATTATTCGATACTAATATATTCCAATATTAAGTTTTATCAAAAAAGAAATAAACTTTATTATAATAAAGAAATTGTTGAAAAAAAATTGTATTTTGTTTGTTTTTTTTTTAATTTTTAAATTTTTTGAAAAAAAAATTTTTTTGTATCCAACAATAAATTAAGCACAGCCATTTGTGGAGTGAAAAAAAAAAAAAATGGAAAAAATTGACGTTATCATTTGATAACAATTT